ACTTGAAAATCTTGTTTTTTAGTCTAACATTATTCATTTTTATCAAAATGTGCGTAAATTTTCAATTGTTAGAGCGTGGACTTTGCACATCTAACGCATGATCGAAAATAACCGTGATCGAAGTCGAATTGCAATGAAATATAAATGTTTCTGTATCATTCTTGGTGTCAAGAAGTGTCACCATGTCGAGGTAGAGCTTTGAGACAAGCTGACTGTATAAAGTGATTTTCCATTTTTCGAATTTTTGTTCAAATTTCTGCAAAAAATTAATTTGTTGCAATATTCTTCGATAAAAGATAAATAAATTTGTTTCAATTAGAATGAAGATGTGTCCATTCCTATTTTTAACATTCAGTACTTTGTAATTTCGAATTTTTTGAAGGGTATCTCATTATGAACGTTAATTTAAGTATCAATTAAAACTATCAATTGTCGGTGGCTGACAAATTATCAATTCAACCAAACAGAAAAAGTGACGTTCTCAACGAATATATCGTTTTATACTTTATATATTTTACTATTTCGATTTTTCTGGAGACACTACTCCCATTTTTCAGTCCTAAATAATAGCCAAGAATAAAAAAAGGCAAAAAGTAAAAGCTTGAAGGGCTGCATTTGTATTCGGCAACTCATAATAGATTTTCCTTACATTGATCTGTATTTGAAACGTTGTTAAAGTAACTGATAATTCGATTAACGTTGATATTTTTATTAACCTTTTTTTCAAATTCACGTAAGGGCTTTCATAAATGTTTCGTACAACCCGTGATGTGATTTGATTTGATTAACATAATATTTTATCTGTCGGAATAATTATGATAATTGAACTTTCGTTGCCATTACAGTTACACACTCCGAAAGAGGCAGAACAAATCGGTGCACACTTGGGTATAAATAATTTGTGAAAGCCCTGTATATGTACATAAATATAAGCTCTAGATTTTTGCGGACTTCTGTCTCCGGTCTCCTGCATTTTTATGGATAATTAATTAAATGCAGAATATGCTAAAACATCCTTGATACAATGATATAAATTCGAAAACATTTTTTCCGTAAATTATTCAGTGTTTGGAGAAATACGCATTTATTGATTATTATCCAAACAAATTTCATGCTGCGTTACGTATATTTCTACACCTGATGGCAGTGTATCGTGAAAATATAATCAATCACAAAACTACCACCTAACTAGGATTTAGATTTCGGCATTCCAACTGCTCGACTAGCATATTTCCAAAACGAATCATCCCTGTGAGTCGTTGGAAAAGTTTGAGAGCCGCAGATCGTGCCATAAGGCCTGGTGGTGTGTGTATAGCGCCGGCCGGGCGACGTTACCGACCCCGCTTTTGTAGAGGGAAGTTCCCTGCGTTGTGTGAGCCCTCGACCGCGTTAGGGCCGCTACCCCAGGCGGGGGCCCCTCTTACTAATCCCGGTTGCCTGCCTGCCTGCCAGCCCTGAATTTCATCCACACTTCGGGGAACGCAAGAGAGTAATGGAAAACTGTATTTCAGATTTGACTCACCGTCTCGTCGTCATCAAATTACGTCACATATCTTTCACAATAAGGCTGCCTCGTAATGTGAAAAACCGCTCTTCGATTAATCCATTGGAAATAATTTTTGTATTTTAAAAAAAATATTTTTGGCGGGAGATTGTTAGTACTTTGAAAAATAGACGGATTTAAATACACTGCTATATTAATCGAAGAATTTGCAAAAATCAAAATTTGAACTGAACTGTATACTTGTAACTAGAAGTCTAGCCAGTCCAGTAATCATTTCTTGACTTCGAGTGCTTTATTGAACCTCATAGATTATTTACAAAGAGTAGTCATTATTGCCTTCTGAATACATTTGCATGCAGCAAAAGCGGCAGGATGTTCGAATGCGAAGCAGATGCTTCAGCACCCTTAAACGAGGATAGTTTTTACCTGCGTTAACTGTAGCCCTGATGTCGTTCTTTTCTCAAAACTTCAGGTAAAGTCGATGCAGTCCCATCCACCATTTGGTCTGTGGGTTCGTTCGAAGATCCGTTTTTTGTATGCGAAGGGATAGGGAAGTCCCGCTGTATTTAAAATGCATAAAAATATTTCGTATTTCGAGTTTTTTTGTTTGTAACTTCATACCAAATTGATACCATTAGAGTAATTCTATTAAATAAGCTTCGAGAAATGAATGAATTTCAGGCCGCGGGAGGTCTTGGAAAGAAATAATTTATCATATTGCTGTTCCAAGTCCTGAATAATAAATTTTCAGTGACTTCATTTTTGGTGATTATTGTTATATAGCCATAAAATTGCGGTTGGTTCCAGAGGCCGTGACAAAAAGCGAATCAATTTAGATTCTAAAGTAACAGGTGATGTCTGTTTTACAATAATTTTTTTTTAGCGGGGACAAAAACGGATTTCATACAAAAAAAGTTTTAACAAGATCGGTTATTGTTAAATGCTAATTGGAATTGTTACCTTTTTTTTTTGGTTCAAGTACAGTTGGGGCAGAATTATTTTTCGGAATTTTTAGCTCCATTTTAGAAACGAATTTTCTATACTAATTTGAATGTTTAGTTGTAATTGAATTGAAAAGATATGTAACTGGAGTGAAAAGAACGACGTTCCAGAGTTGATGTTATAGTTCCATATTTTTTCCTTCTCTCTGATTGACAAAAAACATATAAGATGGCGAAAACCCGACAGCATAGGGAATTAGAATAACCGAATTGTCCACAACAAAATTGCTCTCACGATTAGAGTTATACCGCCTCGAATTATTGATCCAAATGGCAGTATTTTCTCTCAATTTTTTAAACATTAGTAGCTGCAAATTGTGAAACAAAATTTTATTGACTGTAGAAGGCATTTTATATATCAAGGTTACAACTTAAATTTCTAAATATCGGCTGTATAACAAGCCACTTTTAGGAGCATTTTATTTACAGTTGACCTTTCCTATATTTAATAACATATTACAATATATTTAAGATCTCATCTGTTACATTGCCGAAATTTTGAATTTTGATTTGTGATCGTGAGATTACAATATCAATTTTTTAATTCGATCAGGAGTCATTACGAGTTTCAGATGTAACATTTATCGTTGGATTATTTTTTATAATATAGTAAATACCTTCGTGTGTATACAGATCTAAATCTAACCCGGTGTTCTCTTTAAAAATGTTCATTGAGTATTTTATTTAAAGAAAATCTTATCAAAAATAACAAAAAAAAAGTGAGATACATACGTGGACAAATTAACAGTGTACAGAATTACAAAAATTTCACACGAAACAGATAAATTTTGATTTTTATAACTTGATAGTATTAAGATGATTTATATTCTGCTAAACTGATTCGTTAATAAAATTATATCCACCGACTGAGCAATCATTACAAATGGATAAGGAAGTGCTCATTTGTTAACACCCTGTTGTTTCCTTTTTTCTTTCGTGTCGTAGCCAAGCATTGATTTATTATATTCATTCATAGATGTTACAAATACATTAAAACAATTCCAGTCTATGTGTAACACAAAAACAATATATTAAATCGGAAACAGCAAAACCTGTCCAAATTATGTTTCTTGGTGTGAATTTTGTAATCAGCATCACGGTCGAAATCTAATAAAACGATTAGAATTGTCAACGACTGTCGCGCCTTTTTAAAAATATATCAGTCTTTACACACCAGACTAAGCTAAAGTTTAATAGCTACTTGCAAATATAAATAATATCTTGTGATGCGGGGTTATCTCTCTCATATAAAGATATTCTTTACATCGAACATGAAAACAGAAAATTATCGAAAATTTGCTACCAATTAAACTGACAACACTAATATAACAATAAAACTGATTAAAAATAAGTAAAATAAATCCACTTTGGAAAACGTTTTTCCCAGGGACAGCCATGTGAACTACTTGTAAAATGTAGAGTTCAAGGTTCTGTTGTTAGCAACCTCGGTTTTTGTTCGTATATGTTAATTTCTCTTGGAAAAATATTGTTTAATCTTGTTCTGACCGGGGGAGGAGACAATATTCCTGTAATAATTGCGCAAGGTGTGTTGGGATAAGGATTAATACCGATAACCTTGAGGAGAGTAGTTTCTCATGCGACGAGTTACGACCAAGCGGCCTTCGAGAGACCGGCCTATGGCCAGGCCACTCGCTACTGACTGACTGCAGGACTTCGCTCGCGCAGGAATAACTAAATTAAATAGAAAGCGTTCATATAAAGTCTAAAGAGTTGGACAAAACTTATTTGACGTTCACTTCGACTTTAGTTTTAATGCCTTATTTGTGGCAGTTTCACTAGCAGGTTATAATGTCCCGACGGCATAGCATGTTCAAATTTAAAATATAGTAAATCTGCGGAGAACGCTATTTTTCAAACGAATAGTTACCACTAAGCTGATTTTTAAGTCGTGTGTAGTAAGAACGGAGTCGTTGGAAAATTTCGTTGTTCAAAAGTATATAGCACCTAGCCGTGAAAATTGTAATGATTATAAAATTAATTAATCAAAATATTATTTAAACTGATAGCTTAAGATAATGCTAAATGAACACTTCGTCTTATAAATACAGACATTTTTGTATTGTCAAATCTCTGCTTACATAAATAGCGTCTATGAAGTGTATATGTAGGCAACCCAATATACACAATGATTGTTCGCTTTTGAATTTACTGTTTTAATAAAGTGTCGGAACTTTAGAATTTTATAATGCAATATCCAGAAGCTGTAATTAATATGGGAAGTTGACTTTGACATTTCGGTACCAACGATTAAAGGGTAGTAACATGGTTTCATTTCAAGTGAACGTGACTTCCCGCCAACTACAGACTAAACAGTTCGTAACTTTTGTGATTTCGTTATCTCGGCTGATTTTTTTTTATAAAGTAAGAAAAAAAAGCGGAACTAAGTTTTAAGCTATTTGGTGACGAACTTTCGGATTTTAATATATTAGGAGGAATATTGTTTTGAGATGTGTAATTTTTCTCTTGTCCCACAGAAATAATATTACTAGAAGCGCATATCGCGGAATGATGCTTCCAAACATTAAGTGGAAAAATGTTGCCTAGACATGACGAAGAGGTACTTTTGTTGAAGGGTGCAAACTGTTCACTCCTTAGGACCAACAAGATGTACTTTATCTGATCAAATCGGCAAGATCAACAAATTGTCTTAAGATCTCTGTTATGGAGCGACACAATATTTAAGACCCAAATTAGCTGTCGAAGAAGATTGCAAAATCGAAATAACCGAACCTGGATATAGAAGTGAATTGTAAGTCACTACCATCAACGAACTCGAATAATACTATGATGATAGAAGTTTTGCCTGAATGCCGGTCATTTCCGGGCCAGTGGTGGGTCTGAAATAATAATAACATTAATAATAAAAAATTTATTGTCCAAAGAACTACATAGTTCGTGGTAGATACACGAACACAATAACACATAGCCCCATATGATTAAAAACAATGATAAAAATAAGACTAATTCTCCACATCCAACATAGCTAAAGTCAATAAGATGTTTTCACATTGTTGTTTAAATTTTTACTATTATCTTTGAGCACATCAGTGGCAAAGCAAATAAGATATAATAGAATATAATACAGGGTTATAAGGAGAAGCCACGCCCAAAAAATTCAAAATGAAACCTACAATGCATTTGTATTGTGAGTTTTATTATCATATTTTTTAAGTAAAACTTTGGTGTTTGGTTTTGAATTTGTATTTCTGGTTGCGTTTTGAATGTTTTGGGCGTGTTTTTCGTGAATAACCTTGTATATTCGATATAAGACAAGATCATAATCTTATAAAGCATAACAACTTTTAAAAATTTCAAAACATGAAAAAGAAAACTTTCTTATTACGTGTTTTATCAGTTGTATTTATATTCATATTGGCTGAGGATGATAACGGATGAGCAACATAATTTGCGATCGCAGGTGGTTTGGTTCCAGAATACGTATGTCGATACTTATTAAATCCTTAATCTATTTCTCTCGGTCTGTAAAAATTTGAATGTCAAGACATTCACAAGTCAATAAATTTTTACACAATTGGATCGGTCAAGTATAGACACAAAACAGAACATTCTGCTATCACGAATTAGGTTGCTCATCCGCTGCTAACAGTTATATAGTTTGACAGTAAATTTCTGTAGCAAAAGTAATTAAATCTTCATATGTGAAAATTGTGATAGGAGAAAACAGTTTTTTAGCAAGATTGCAAGTTTGATCTTCCAATAGTAAAGGCAACTACGTTGTTGCTATGGCAACAAAATGAGGCCATTAAAGATTTTTTAGAAGCTCAGTATACATATAGTGAATGTTTTTTATACATGCTTTGAGTGCGTTATTTCATCACCATTTTGAAAAACAGAATTTCACCATTAACAACAAAAAAAAAACAGAGATTGGCTTTTTATTATGAAAAATGTATTAATTAGTTATTAAATTGTTGTTAATAGTGTAATTTAAATGCATCCACATTTGGCGACATACATGAGAGCATCAAGTCGATAAAAATAAGGAATCGATACTTGTTTAAAATCTTCTTGATTTTGGTGTATTAATTTTGATCATAATATAATGTGACGTCTCGTTTTCTCGTGAAAATATTCAACAGCGCATCCGTTTGTTTCAGAATTGTGCCATGATGGGTCTGCAGGCGACTACAGGGAAACGTAAGTTAGAAGCGGCGACAGCTCCTGGAGATTCCTCCCCTCCAAAGACAGGTCGATGGGAGGCCGACGATTGCATAGCACGCCTCCAAGCCGTGGCGGTGCCGAGCGACACCTGGAGGTCGCCGACGCCATCGTTGGCGGCGACTCTGTTATCCAGCAGCAGCGACGACTACGAAGATGAGGACGAGTTCGACGACGAGCTCTCGGACGACGACCGATGCGTCGCCGTACCGGAACCCGCGAGATTCGCCCAGCCACCGTTCGGTCGGTACCAGTCCGACTACTGGCAGTACTACCAGCCCCCCCAGCAGCAGACCATCCGCTGCGAGGAGAACGGAAAATCGTACCTGGAACTCGGTGCTTCCCCGCCGCCCGTGCGGACGCGGTGCTGCGACGGACGGACGCGGTGGTGTCACGTGCCCTGCTACCGGCAGCGACGGCTGGCGGTGCTCAACCTGTCCATGTGCAAGCTGGCGCGGTACCGGCAGTGCTCGGACCCCTCGCTGCGGCGCTCGGTGCTCATCTGCAACACCCTGCGGCGTCTCGAACGGGAGATGGAGGCGGAACCCCCCGAACCCAGCTACGCGCTGCCCGAGCTGTCGCCGCCCAGCCGCCCTTCGCCCGTGCCCGAGCCCGGCTACGAGCAGAGCCTGCGGGAGGTGGCGTGCCCGTCGGGGCGTGCCACTCCCTTCCCGTCCGCCGCCCCCGACACCGACTCGGGCCTCGGCGACGACGAGATGGCGCGTCCGATCAACTGGGGCTCCGTGCTCAGCCTAACTTCCCAAACGGATCTAGAGTCTCTCAACAACAACGAGCTCTACGCGGAGCTGGGGCTGGCGAGTGATCCCCCCGAGTGGAAGGAGCCGTCGACGTCGCGAACGGACAATGAGTGGGACGGCTTCATGCACGTCCTCGTCGGGGGTACGTAGCAGAATGTTGGTGCTTCCGCTTTCCTCAGGTTGTGATCACTTAGTTAAAGACATCAGTGCAGTGCAGGAATTGTGCAGCTATTGTTGACTGTTTTTATTTTTATATTCTATTTAGCGTTCTTTACCTAGCGATTGGACTGAGGTACTTAGGCAAGTCGGAAGTACTCTGCTTCCTACCAGACTTATCGTAACGGATTGATCTCCATCGCTCAATTAACTTAACTAAGGCTCAATACATGAGTTTTATTTGTTTATTGATATTATTTCGTGTTACTGACCCGTCGGGGCATTCCTCTGTATATAATTTTGTAATATAATGTGCATAATGTACATAAGAGAAGATTTCTAACTAGGTCTATATTTGTAAATAATTCTATGTTATACATATATTTTAAATGATGTGTGAATTTATTAATTAAATTGGCAATATGGTTCTACACGTAACAAATAACTCCCAGGCTGAAGCCGCAGCGAACAAAAACACCTTCCTAACATTTATTCTATTCATTTTTGACTGAATCGTGAAAGCGATAACGACAATTTCATCATCAACTGATGGTTCAAAACTATACTACCCGATGTTCCTTTCTTCAATTTTAAAGTTACCGTAGCACTTAGAAATATTTTTTTATCTAATATGTAATGTCAAAAACTGCAAAACCTAAGTTATTCTGTCGATGTTTCTATAAATGTAGATTTGAATGTTACAAATTTCAACAGCTGGGAGGATGAATCTAGTCCGTCATTGTCCATTATCTAGAAGAACATAAATGTGAGCCAGTATTACTATATATTAAAAAAAAGAACTTAAAAGCGAAATGGTTAACTTAAATACTTGTTCAAACCGTCCCAAAACTTCTTAGATGATGGCGACAATGAGATGTTTGTAGGTGTACACCATGTTATTTAGCTAGTTAATTCTCTATGAAGCTTCTTTTTCATCAACCGTCGTTGCTGGAAAAGGAGCTGTCCAGTTTCTTGCCATGACACTTCATTTCAATTTTTGTATTTTTTAAAAGCTATGTTCAAACTGTGCTCCTTTAACGTTAACCCGACTTATTACAAAACACTGAACGTATATTTTTCTAAATTAAAAAAAAAAAAACGTTCTCTGGTTAAGGGAAACAATGACACAGGCAAAGCTGCTAACGCGATCAATAATTTTATTGGAGCACAGTCGTGAATGATACAAATTTTATGGTGATATTTATTTATAAAAACGATGTGTTAACATCATTGAACTAAAAAGAAAAATTAGTTTGTAACAAATAACAATACAAGGGCACAATTAAATACTGTTATATATTTAAAGTATTGAAATAAGAAATTGTTGTGGTACGATAACTTAAGTTGTTGAAATTGCAATTTTATTCCACCTCTGTAAAATAGAAAAATTGAACCATGAGGCAATCAATATTATACAGTTTTATGAAAAATAGCTGTGTTTTTTATTCTAAAAGAAATTATATGTGCACAGAAATTTAAATATTTTGATAAGATTGCAATAAAAGATTTTTTGAAACATGTTGTTTCGATGCTTGAATTTTCAGGATAAATCGTGCCTAATTTAAAGCCAAATTTTTATTTATTACATATTAACACAACGACAATTTATTTATTACTGTGCATAATTCTCCTGAAAATTTAAGCCTATAGTTTAAGTAAAGTACTTGTACTTCGTCCCACATCGACGTGACGTCAATAATAATTACGTACAACACTTGATTGTGTGCAAGTAACATGTGATATCATGTAATATGTTAGTGTTAAAAAAATAAATCGGTATATATACATATTACCTCATTTCTTGTTTTATATTTTTATGTTTTAATATAATGAAATAACCAAAGAATGGAGTCTTTGATTATTGACAGTTCTACCAGTGAAAATATAAACATGTAGCTAGTTGTAGCTAATTTTACAAAAAGGTTGGTAAAATTTCAGTTCAAATAGGAAATATGGTCATTAAAGACAAACAGGAAAACTTGTTACGAAAACGGGGACGTACCGAAGGTTCTACAGGTATTAGTTGTAGGTATACTCCGTCCATTTATTTTTTTACAGTGGGGTGGGTTCTAGCAATTAACAAGATTTGTGGCTTCAGTACCGACTGGCCAGGGTCGAATTTTTCTTATTCGTTAGCCAGTAACTTTTAACAATAACAAACAAAAAGAAAGCAAAATACTACACAAATTGTAAATATTTAATTTACGGGCATTATTCAATATTTATTTGCTTAGTCTAGCATCTAGTGATGTAGGGTAACGAGACAAGTCCGACTTTGTATCGTTATAAATTACTAATAATTGTGGTTGCGGTGGTTGAACACGGCGGTGAACCCCTTGAAATTCATAAATTTGTATGAGGTATGATATAACTCATATACATATAACTGAAGCGTACAAAGTATATGATTCTCGATGAAAGGTTCAAGCTATGTGGTGTCATCTGTTGTTAAAATGGTTAACTACACGAACAGGAAGAAGCCAGATTTTTTGTCTATACGGTAGGGATCCCTATGTAACAGTTGAACATAATTTGTGACGAATGAAAATTAAGCAAAAAAAAATGTAGAACTTATATTCTGTGCAACAGAAAAAAGCAAAACCTGAAAGTAGGTCGAAAATATACTTCTAAAATGGGCGGGAAATATAAAAACGTTCATCTTGTAGTAACACTTTCTACTACATTGCTGGTTGCATATACAAAATTACAATTTTTTTAACCTCTAAACATATGTATTTATTTATGCATAACGTCAAATGCAGCTGGTGCACGGATTCTTCAAATGACATAAGTCTTTTTTGCAGTTAAACAAAATTGTGGTTCTGTATTTTTCTTGTTCTATTTTTTACTTCCCTAGCGCAAGCAAAGGAAGTATTGTGTCCGTTTGTCTGCGGTCCTGGATTTTTATTAGGCAGATGGATAATCTCCGAAATTTTGTATTTATATTAGGAATAGAGGTAGATGGTAAAACGCTAACCAAAATTTGCCTAATCATCCCCACCAATAATGTGATGACGTCACTTCAAAACTGTACATAGTAAATGGGTTTTAAATTGTATAAAATAACATAATCACTACTGTGACATAATCCTACACATGTAGTTTATGACTCCGAATTCAGTTTTTACCCGAAACGTCCATATTTTTGGAAAAAACAATCAAAATCACGAAACAACATTTTGCAATTTAATTTGGAATCTGCAAAACTGAATGCTTTGAAATATTGCAGATGATTTACAGTTATGATAAGCATGGTAAATTTTGAATCAAAATGTATTTGCTCATCCCCCCCCTAAAAACTTGATGACATCATCCCAAAATTTTGGTGAATGTGTCCTTTCTAAAATGTATAAAATATAATGAGTCTGTACTTGTGATTTATCATTCCTTTCATAGTTTTTAAATTTGCTTAACAGGTCGCTCAAAAAAATTAATGAATGGGTCAATTTATTTTATTGATTAAATAAGGGAATAGTTCATTCCATTTTCCTGAAAATTTGGAGATACAACACTGTTATTATTAGTATTACATATACTGGAGTATTACATATACTGTAGTATTACATTGCACCAACCCAATTTGATAGACACAAAATTTTAAAGTAAAAGCTCGTTTGAAACATAGGCGTAGCACGCTCATTTACATTTACTTTAACATTACAGACGTGCATTTGTTTTGTTGCGCTGACTAGGTTCCGTGAATATGGTATAGACAAGTTGTAATCAACTAATTGTGAATTACACCATTAAAAATTAAAATAAAATTCAATATTTTATATAATAAGCGGAAGTCGAAGCAATAAAAAAGTCTGGGTGACCATCGGTATTGTTTGCAGTTTCTGGTTTGACTCCCACGTGTACAATCTCAACAAGTGTTACCGCTGCTAAGACACGCGACATATGGGAGTAAACTGTTTTGTCGTTATGCAACCCAGTATGCACTAAACATATGTTAAGTATGCATGAACAAAACATATCTTGTTCTAATGTACAGTTTCAGCCACAAAATCTTGGGCGGTTCTGTAATTCCAGTGACACAAGCTCTAAAACAGGCTTTACGTACTTATAACCTTATAACTTCAAACCTGCCATGTTTGTCATTTTTCCGTAAATTGGAATGTTGATGATGACGTATGTCAAAATTTATATGACGTATGTCAAAATTTATTTTTTAAAAGTGTCAATCATCGTGACAATAAAGCATAGACTACATCGTGTTTTTTTAAATGACAGAAAAATACTGCCCAAGATTTTCTGTCCGAAACTGTAATAGTTGTTCATTATGGGCTTTTATTTGCAACACACGTTGCTGGTCCAAGTTTTGTAAAAGAAAATAATTTTTTTGTATATACAACCAACAATATACTAGAAAGTGATGATACGTGATGAACGTGTTTATATTTCCCGCGTATTCTACCATGATTTTAATTATTCAACTTTAAAGTTTAATGTTTTTCAAAAATTTCAGTGCTTTCTTTACAATGTACCATATTTTCTAGTTCCTTAATTTCAGGTTCTGCTGTTCCTTCTACAAAATATACGGCCTGCACCATAGAGGTAGAAAAACCATTCTACCTCATCCATGGTTTACATTTTTTTTGCCTAAATTCTTTCTTCACAAATTACGTTCTCCTTTTTCATAGAGATGCAGTATTATCGAATGGTATTATTTATTCTACGTATATCTAGAATGGAATTTGGAATATTACAAAGCAAGTTTATTGTGTGTATCTTTTTAACTTTTGCATTTTAGATTAAAAGTTATCGCTGATTGACTAAAGATAAATAAGTCAAAGAATAGATACTGCTTATTGTAGACTGATTAAATTTAAAAAAAAAAAATAGATTATTCGTGAATGTCATTGGAAGGGGATTTTTTTCATATTAAGAACGTAAACCATACTTATTAATCTTTCTTAGATATTTAATAAAAAAATAAATTTCACCGTTCAAATGCAATGCCAGTTTTCAAAAGTCTCCTAATACGTCAATCCTCTGTTGATCTTATATGTAATACCTATTTTGACCATTCTATATGCGTAATATATTCCTTCCTCTATGATTTTGATAATAATGGGTTCTTCTTTTTCGCATTTTTGGATAAAATTAAGTTAGGCTTGGCAATGAATAGTCTACACAAAAATTGCTATTGTAACGAGCATTTTCGTTTGTTGTTCGAGAATTCTAAAGAATAAGTAGAAAAATATCTAAAAATACATATCTTATTTGGGGTAAAATAGCATTTTGATTTTAGGGGTAACGGCGAACGAAAAGTTCTATGGGGTGTTTTGTGATTTCATTTGGCAACATTGGCCGAGTTGGCAGGGTGGCAGAGACGCAGGAAGTTTCAAGAAGATATGAGATTGTGTCCTTGGTTTTGTAGATGTGATCACGTGGTCTAGCGGAGTTGGTTTTGGCGGTGGTGTGGTTTATGTGTGATTGTTTGTTTGAATTTTGTTGATAATCACCTGCCATAACTAACAAAATCGATTTTTCGTAATCTATTTGTTTTTACAAACTGCCTAACAATGACACAAAACACTAATTACAGGTAAGCAAGTTAAACCAAATCACCTGTTTTTGTTATTGTTAACCTCTTTTTACCCACTTGTTTTTGTGATTTGTTGCAGTGAAGATTCCGGTTATGTAAATATTCACGGACACGATATACGGGTATTTGTTTGTGAAAAAACGGGGCTGATTCTAGTGCCCATTGATGAACTTAAGGCGATGGGCTTTCGTATATATCGGAAAAGCCAGTACAGTAGGCTGTTAATAGATGACAAGTATGTCCAATTGCTGAAAATGTTACTCCTATTTTTCTACATTTTTTAATTTTAGCCAATTTACTAAAGAATTTGATTTGTACATGTTACAATGTGCCCAAACTTACATGTTTGAAAAAAAGATAGTTTTTAAGGAGAATGATATTCTTGAAAACATTAATAAATGTAAGGCTGTGCTGACGGGAAGTCATAGTGAAGTTAAAACACCACCTTCCAATATCACTAAAGGTCATGTACTTGAAAACAGTGTTTCACCCACCATTACAACAAATTTGAGGGAACCTTTGCCTGCAACTGTTCAGAATTTGCAAAATGATAGAAAGTTTAGAGGTTTTACTCCAAATAAAAGTCCCGCGTCTTCAGTTAAATTAGGCGAGAATAAAGCAGACTTTAAGCAAAATGATTTGGACGATTCCTTTGACCTTAAAGTAGAGAGAAATGAAAGAAATGAGAGGAAGGTTTTTACCAAGGGAAATTCTGAACAAGGAAATCAGGGTGGAAACGGTAAACCAAGAAACACTTACAATCAGAAGAAAGCAAATGGTTCAAATATGTCTGATAAGCTAGAAGTACAAAATTCTTTTGACAGAAATAATACTAGTGAATACAGGAAACCTTTGAGTCCTAAAGCATCCACTGATAATATACCCACAAAATATGTGAGCAAGTCAAATGGGTCTGAGCCAAAATCTAACTTTATTAAAACTAGACAAGATTATCAGCCAAAAAGAGATTTTGAAAATAATGAAGAACCTGTACAGAAATTGGGCACAATTGAACTGAATAGATTAGAGCACAAGGTTATTTAATTTATTTTTTTTTTCTGTTTTGTTATTGCTTTTGTTGTAGGTTTTAGTGTCCTTTATTGAAAAACCAAACTGTGTGTGGGTTCAAGACACGGATAAGAGTAATACTTTGTTGGAAATTAATGCAAAAATAAAGGAAGATCTTGCCCAGGGAGAAAATAAAGTTTTCAGGCCAATATGGAACAAAATCTATGTAGCCTTATCACCGGAAAATAATATGTGGTTAGTTAATATTCAACTTACATTAGTGAAGATATCAATTCAATTTTTTCAAGTATCTAGTATTGATTTTTTTTTAACTTTTTTAATGAAGTATCTGCAAAACCATAAAATAATTTTCTTTAATTCTAGTGAACATCGTACCCCTTTAAAAATATTTGGGAATTCGAAACATTTTAATTAGTTTTGTAGTGATAAACGGAATTGTTAGATTTTTTTTACTAATGGCGATAAATGTCTGAAAAAAAATTCTTATAATTATTTTTGGCTAAAATGGTTTCTGGTAACATTTTTCCTAGGTTTTTGTTGATCTGTGCATATTTTTTTATTCTTAATTTATATTTTGTACATGCTTATCCAATGTCAGCAGCGTTGCTACTATGAGTATATATTTATTTATTTCACAGGTATAGATGTACACCAATCAAATTCAAACCTCTCATAGTTTTCTTTGTGGATTATGGTAACGTTGCTGAAGTAAAGGAAGTTCTAGAAGTATCCGAACCGTTATCAAAAATACTGCGACAAGCTGCCAGAATCACATTCAGTGAGGCTCAATATACGGCACAAGTCAATGACAACCTCATCGTTAAAATTAAAAAACGCGTAAGTTCACTGTTATTGTAATGATCCGTCTTATTCCTGTATGTCATTAATTTTATTGTTGCAGTATGAAAACGGTACTTATCTGGTTGACGTGAAGACCAATAATAATTCAACCCCCCTTGAACCAGAACCTCCTAAAACTCCCACCACCCTTAACGTTTTCACAAAACCTCAACCTCTCTGCAAATTGGAGGATGGCCAAAAAGTAATGTTGATTTCCCACAGTAACGGAAAACTCATTCTGAGAACAAAAGAATGCTATGATAAATTGAAACAGATAGAACGGGCGCTAGATGAAGAAGAGTCCAAAGCGAAACCAGTTGGACACGTCGAGAAGGGACAGTTGGTTTTGTGCAAGAAAGAGAAATTGCAAAGGGCGGTTGTCTTGGATGTGCAGAGGAGTTCCGTTGAGATAGAGTTCCTAGATTATTATGAGAAGATGAAAGTTGATGTGTCTGCTTTGAAACATATCACTGAGGCGTTGTCCACACTATCTCTTACCTATATTGTTACCCCAGTACTTAAAGGTTATAATGAAACAGCAGACCAAACTTTACGAGAGTTGAGCGAGAAGAAAGTAAAAGGGGTTGTGGTAAGTAAATAATCAAACGTTGCTTTGCTAATTATCATTCCCAATATTTATATTCAAATACAGATTTAGTTTAATTGTGGGTTTTAACTACATGTCACGGTTTTATACATAGGGTTTAGAATATATGACATGCGCAGAAGTGGTCACACTTTTTTTACAATCAAAATAAAATCATGCATTGTTGCAGGTTTTATCTTCCCGTGGTGATTTCGACCTAAAATTAGGCGACGAGCTTCTTTCTAATACCTTGAAACCAGTTCATTCCGATCGTCCAATGTTAAAAGACTTCCCAGTGTATGAGCCTCCTCTAGGTTTAGGTACCTATTTGTTAAACACTTACCAAAGTAAAGACAAGATGTATTTCGCGTCTGGAGATGCTTTCGGCGAGTACGTGGAGAGCGTGATTCTTTCCGAGTTGGCAGATAGCGATCCATATGAACCAATCGTAGGTGAACTCTGTCTAGGCCTCTATCAAGAGAACTGGTCAAGATGTGTAATACTGAGTGTTACAAATCTCAGATACAAAGTTCAGTTTGTTGACTTTGGTAATTTAGAGTATTTAAAGGCAGATCAGTTACGGAAATTGACTGAAATTGCCAAAGAAGCGCCGATTTTGGCATTCTGCTGTCAATTAACAGGTAAGAACTTAAATTGACGTTATAAAAATAAACTTGAGTTACTACTAAGACAACAAAAGTCATAGTTACTAGAATCAAACACTAATAAATACAAAATTTTCCTTTGTAATTCCCTTTTGTTTATAGGATTACCTTCAACGAGCGATGTAGAAGAGTGGTTAAAAGAGAATTTAGAGGATGGAAACAACTATGATATTAATATTAAGAAGTCCACCGGTGTTACTTACGAAATTGAAATACCGGATGTGAATGAAGCGTTAAGAAACAGTATTTGAGTTAACAATCCGTTTTAATCGTGGATGCGTAATTTTGAGCTTTTTATACTTGTTTTCTCAATTTTCAGTTGTTTATGTTATAAGATTAAGTAATGAAATAAAGACTAATTTGAGGTTTTATATCGTAACTGCATTCGTTATTTCAAATTTAGTCATGTAGAAATGGCAAATACAAATATATGTTATTTTATGGAGATGAGCATGTGTATAAATTACAGAAAACTTTTTTAGGGCGTTAAACGGCCTGAAAAATTTTCAAATGTACGTGTTTGAAAAAAGCGTATCACAATCTTTTTTGGAATTATGCTTGTTATATCTCAAGGTTTGAGAATATTTGAAAAATGGTGCAGTAAAATTGGTGTAACTACATTTCCTTCAATGAAAATACCAAATTAAGAGTTTGGTAGTTTTCATTACTTTGGTTTTACATAAAATTGACGGAAAAATTACTACGTTGGTAAAAACGTCAATCTAGTAACTAAAAATTGCTTCGGTATTATTAGTAAGTGCATGTCTCATTAATATTTAACATTTACTTGTCGGTGACTCCAATTTATTTTTATATCAAGGAATCAAAATGCTTGGTGCCAAAATTGATGCAGCTTTTGATAATTGGTGGCTTAAACAAGGACTTAAGTTGCTACATCTAAATACTGATCTGGATGTGGAGAGCTGACTTAACTCATAACCAGTCATAACCATGCACACAGAACAAAAGTTTTAGTTCTTTGCTTTGTCTACAAAAAATGATTAAAAAATGAATGTATATAATAAACAAATACAGAAAAAATGATATACTTACATTTGTAAATTATAGGCTGCAATTTAAATCAACACATTCAATGCAAAATGTCAAAATTTGCAGTACTCATGAAGATAACACCAGAAGCAGGTACTTGGGGTAAAAAGGCCATAAAGAAGAGGTGTTCCAGTTATTAGAAGGAATTCTAAAATTTTGAAAATGAATGCGAATTTAAAAAATGACAGCATGTTTACAGCGATCTTTTCAACAGATCTCCTGTTCCATACACGTCACAATCCATACTAATTATAACCTCAATTGTCAACACATAACATAACCTAACCTAACCTAAAATCATAATAAAGCTAAATCGAGCATGGTTACAATTTTTAAAGTTTAAATAATATGGCACGTGGTAAAGTAAAATACAAGGATGTTGTTGGGGGGCATTCGAAAACAAATAAAAAGTTTTCCAAGAAAAAAGTTAACTCACGGAAAACTTACAGTTTGTACCAAGCCAACAATGGAAAGAAAAGTAAAAAGCGCAAGTTTAACACAAACATAGAAGAATTAAACGAAAAAAGACAAAAAACTGAAGAAACTGTCCAAGTTGAAGAAGAATCGTCAGAAAGTGAGGAGGATACAGATCACATGCAACAGCTGCGAGCCTCATTTTCATCAAACTTGAGTAATAAAAAACTGGTGGCTGTTGAAAGTAGTGATGACTCTTTTAGTGAAGAAGAACATGAAAGCAGAGAAGAAAAGGGCGATAATTTAGATGAAAGTGGTTCTGTTAAAAGTGATTCTGAGTTATTGGAGAACAGTCAAGATGAAAGTGATGATGTAGAATCTGAAGGTGAGAGTGACAGTGATGTAAATATTGAAAATGAAGAGCAGGATAATAATAAAGATGATAGTAGTGATCCATTTGTTAAACATGTTTGTTATGAATTACATGAAAGTGTATTAAATTCATTACAAAATGTACCAATGTTAGTGAAAGAACACATAGAACATTGGCCAACTTTGGGAAGAGTGATAATTCAGATTCCACAGTATAAGGAGACTGAAAAAACTGAATGTAATGTGGTCACTATCGAAGAAGAGAAAAAATTTGCTCCTCCAGGAAGTGTGCCTTCTAAGATTAATAACACAGATCTCAGCAAACCTGAAAATATTTTTATAAAGAATCAAATAATTAATAATTTAACAAAAGCAAACAAGTCTTTGAGTTATGGAGATGTTTTATTTACTGATTTACAAAATGAACTGTTTTCTGTAATGAACAATTACCAAGATATCTACTATAGTCAGAGAAGTTTTAGCAATGCTGAAGAAATAAGGTTTGTTTACTGTTTACACCTTGTTAACCATATCCTTAAAACAAGGCTTAAGGTGGTTCATCACAATGCTCGCCTGTCCAATAAGGATGATGTTCCAGAAGACTTTCGAGATCAGGGTTTGGTTCGTCCAAAGGTAGTAAATTACAAATATATAGTGTACCACAACTGACACTTTGTACATATTTTGTAGATTTTAGTCATTGTACCATTTAAAGATTCAGCATATCAAATAATCCAAACACTTATAAATATACTCCTGCCAGAAGATAAAAGTCATGTTATGAAAAGAAAAAGATTTGTGGAGGAATATACAGGAAATGAAATTTCCATGCCCAAAAAGAATCCAAAACCTGAGGACTACGAATTAACATTTTCCGGAAATGTTAGTGATGATTTTAAAATTGGAATAACTGTTACAAAGAAAAGTCTTAAGGTTTGTGAATTGTTTGTCATGTCCATCATTTTTTACAATCTTTTTTAGCTTTATGCAGATTTTTATTCCTCTGACATAATTATTGCATCACCACTAGGATTAAGAACACTAATTGGAGCTGAAGGAGAATCAGAACGTGATTACGACTTTCTTGCATCAATAGAACTTCTAGTACTAGATCAAGCTGAACTATTCTTCATGCAAAATTGGGACCATTTGATCCACGCCTTGAATCACCTCCATTTACAACCCAAGAATTCACATGGTACTGATTTTTCAAGGGTGCGCACTTGGAGTTTAAATGGCTGGGCAAAGTATTATAGGCAAACAATGATATTTTCGTCCATTGCATTACCAGAAATTAATGCCGTTTTTAATAAAAAATGCAACAATTATGCGGGAAAGGCGAAAGTTTCAAATCCTGTTGAGTTTGGCGCTATACGACAAGTATTCGTCCAAATACCGCACGTGTTTCATAAATTTGAAGCGTCAAATGTGCAGCAATTGTTGGAAGCACGATTTGATTTTTTTATAAATAAAATTTTGCCTCAACAAAAGGATAGTCTGATGAAGCAGACTTTGATTTATGTTTCAAGCTATTTTGATTTTGTTCGATTGAGGAATTATTTTAAAAAAGAAGAACTAAGTTTTGTACAAATATGCGAATATTCTAAGGTAAACATTGTTGTAGGATTTTGTAAAAAATTATGTATTTTGTTTTTTTTTACAGGAAAGTAAAATCGCAAGAGCGCGAGACATGTTTTATCATGGTGATGTCCATTTCTTACTGTACACGGAGAGACATCATTTTTATAACAGAATCAGAGTAAAAGGTATTCGCCACTTAATTTTTTATGAACCACCAGCTTTTCCTCATTTTTATTATGAGATTTGTAACTTCATGCAGGTACGTTTGAATATTTAAATAAATTCTTATATTTTATGGGAATCTGTTTTCATAGGAAGCAAATATGAATAAAAAAGTGGGTAGTATGACTAATATGACTGTGAATGTACTTTATTCAAAATACGACGTACAGAGGATTTCAGCAATTGTTGGTACAGAAAGAGCTATGAAGATACTGAATTCTGACAGGAGTGTTCATATGATGGTCACTGGAGCAGAATGAGAGCATCTGCTTAACATTCCAGAGGTTCTTTTTTTTAAAGATAAGTATTAATTCTCTTTAAAGTTAATAATTCAAATTGTTGACAATATGTAAAAAATATAAAAATATATTTTTATTCATAAAACCTACCTATTATAATTTGTGTCCTTTAAATATTTGCAAAGAACGTATGAATTAGGTACTCTCTGATTAATTTATTTATAATTGTTTACCCAAAAAGTTGTATATTAATTACAAAAGAAATCTAAAATATAATATTTTAAGATAAATAAATTTTTTATTTGTTTACACTAAATGTCTAATAAAAAACCTTTGATTTGAATAGTTCAAGTTTGAATACATTTTTGCAATAACGATGTACAGATTTTAGTTAATATTATTTGTTATGTGGTGCAAAATGAAATATAGTGTTAACTAACATAATTTTCAACATCAACTGTTTTTTAAATAATCGGTGTGGATATTTTATTTAGATATCCTATGTAAACAGTACCAAAAATTAAAAAAATATGACTGAAACAAGTAATGCAATTTCTGCAGGCGCATTTATCAAGAAAGAAGAAAAAAAAAATTACTTATTTTCTGAGGTAATGCCAGTGATGAATAATGCTATCAACTTTTTGTTGTCAATAATGTACAGGTTGCACGAAAAGTTTTACGTCCCTCCGGCCGTTCTATTCCGCAGTGAACGTAGAGGATGTAAGCGGATTATAAATGAAAATTTCCAAAATATTAATACCCGTCGTTCGCATATAGCGATTTGTAATCTAAAAATTGTACAGGGTGTCTCAGCTAAACTGCCCGATTGAATATCTTTACATTGAGGGGGAAGCTTAATTTAGTACATTGCAAATATGACAACATATATTTTTTTAACCGTTTTTGATAGACCGTTATTCCGCCACTCCCTTCGATTCGAACGTATTATGTTATGAAAACACTATATTTGGTATGCGGGAAATCGTGTGCACGGTCAAACAATTGCTTGTTATGGCAATACTCATGTTATTTAATTACTTTAACGAATTTTGGGAAATTACTGACATTAATTTAATTTAATTATGAGAAAACAGTGATTTAAAATTGCATTATTCATCCCCTCTAGAAAGTCAATTACGTCATTGCAAAAATACAACGTAAGGGAAAGATAAGAGTTGAAGCGATTTCAAAGCTAAGTAGATGAAAATCATTTTGAAACACCCTTTATATTAAGTAAATGTCAACAAATGTGCTTCGAGATGAAGGTGTTTGCGCTTTAGTGATGTATTTTAATTTTTTATAATCGTTTATTCAGGACTTCAACATCAAAGTACTGACAGAGTTACTTATTTTGTGATTATTAGTACCCTTAGTTTGAAGTTTATATTATATGTTGCAATGGGTATAATTTAAGAATTGTCTTTTTCAGTAAATTTTGATGATACAGTTATAAAATCTAATAATTTTCTAAATGAATCAGTTAGTCAAGGTTCTAGAGTTAATTTTTTTATGACTGAATCGTATTATATTCGGTACTTACTTTTGTAATATTAAGCTAAATTCAAAGTTGTTAAAATTAATAAGAAAAGAAAATTATATAGTTTATTAAGACAAAATATTTGATATCACCATAGTACTGGATATAAAAATCTAATAATTGGAAAATTAAGCTTCTAATAGTATACTCGAGGACACCTAAAGTTTATTTAGTGTTTTACTTTATTCGTATTCGTATTTGTTTACCACATTTTTGAAAAAATATTTGTAATAAAAAGTTAGTTAACTTTTAATTGGAAGATTTTGGTACCTACCCAGGATTTGCATATAGATACTAGAAACTACATAAATCGTATATTTTCATTATAATCGTGTAAAACATAATAACGTTTACAAAAGTAACAAATTAAAATTACCTAATATCAAAATGTTAGCTAAAGGGATAGTCTATTACGTAAAAATAAAGACACAAAGTAAACATATTCAGGAGAGTCAACAGGAAGTACCTGGCGTAAGCTAGTCATTTTCCGCATAAGGATCATTATACATTAATTTTTTCATGAAAGTACTTGTCTTCCCAAAGTCTACTTCATATTCGGGAGCAGTTGTGTTTTCGTCGGCAGTTGAGGATGTGGAAAATATTTCGTCTTCTTTAAGTTCAGTTATTTGTTGTTGCATTTCTGCAAAAAACACAAATAATTTAACAATTATTTTTTAAGAACGGTTATTTTTGCACAAAAGTAAGTAAATATAAATTAAATCAACTATCTGAGACCAGAAATGAACGTTGATTGTAAAAAACAAATATCAGATTCGTCAAATTTCAAGTCAGGTTAAGTTTTAAAGGCTGGTTTTTGCGTTTAATTTAGTATGGTTTTGCTCACCTGCCACAATGTGATTACAGTTTAATTGCGCTTCAGGTTCCACAGTATATTTAGGCATATTTTTTTGTCCACCATTCCACAAAAATACATAGTATAGCGATAGCATAATCGCCGCTAAAGAAACGAAGAACACATAGGCGATAACAGTTAAAACTCGAACTAGTTTCTTTTTATGTTTCGGTTCATAAAGACGGTCTTTGGCTTCATCTCCCGCTAATTTAACACTTGTGTCCACTAGGTTATTACTTTTAATCCACTGAGCTTCAGTGCAGTTGATGCCATTTTTCATAGAAATTTTATATGACATTTTCGAATTTAAAATCTGAAGAACTTTTGTGAGTAATTTACACGCCACGCTGATAGATTGGGTTGAATTACTGGTTTTTATTAATAATGTGCTCTACAATGTGGTCTGGGTATTATAAGTTATTTCTATTCGTTTACGTTTATCAGGTTCGAAAGGCTTTTTAAAACAATCTATCATTTTACGGTAGTACAAACTGTCAGAGGTTACTGATTTTTAAAATCAGGACACAGTTGTTATGATTTTCGTATTATGCTTTGCACCGGGTCAATCAATAGTTTCAGCTGTTTGAATAAGGAATGGAATGCTTGATGCGCAGCCTCGGAAATTTGCAAAAAAAATATCAAGTACATTTTAGGATTTTGTATTGTATTTTTTGTGTTGAATTTATTTTTGTGCCGCAACATTAACGAACCACAAGTCAGAGAGGAAGTTTTGATTTGGTAGATATTTTTACTCGTAGTGCCAGCTATCTTAAAATAGGTGCAATGTTGATTACAAACATGACTTTATTTAAAAATATTGTGCCAATAAATCAATTCAGTTTAAAAAAGCTTTATGTTTTTTAAAGTTTGTTTAAAATAAATCGTGTACGTACCTTCGCATATTCTGAAGAAAAATAGATGAAATTTAATTATTATTGACCGAAAAAAAGTGCTTTGATTTGCTAGTGAAGGCAACCACTGTGAAAGAATAATAATGATAACAATAATATTTACACTACAGTTGAGAGATTTTAAATCCTTTTCTTGAAAATATTGGTGTAAAATTAGGTTTATTGAATAATAGTTAAATTTCAACTGCAATAATCAACTGTTATGGTTAATAATCATTAAATATTTTTCAAAAAAAGTCAAATTTGGTATGTTATATTTGACACAGTAAATTTGTTGTTATGTAAAACTTATATGGTGTCACGTTTAGTTATAGTTGTTAAATGCCGTTAAGAAAATCGTTTTAGTTACCAGCTGAACAAAATTAGTCATAAGTTAAAAACGTTATCCACACTAGAGTAATAAAATAGTGTAACGAAATATTACCTAGATAATTGTTACTAATATCTGATTTAGTGCGATGCCGTATTCTAAAAATAACAAGTTGGATTATGGAATCCAGCGATATGCCCAGGTTCAGAACTGCCGCGAAATCGGAGAAGATTTCAAATAATCCATTATCATTAAGCTTTTATTAATTAAATAACACATGCATATGAAATCAATCATGTCATCATGTTACAAAACAATTTTATTTCACGTATCTAAGTGTATTTATTATATACAATTTTAAGACATATTAAAGCATATTTTGACCAGTCAGTGTCTAAATTTATGTTTTTTCGACTTATTTTTTGTCCGTTTGTCTGTTGTCTAATTTATTAGACATATATACTCCGAAACGATTGCATTGATTGTTGTGAAATCTTCGGGGTACTTTAAGACTATTGTGTAAATGAAAAAATGTTAAACAAAAATTTTATGTAGTAACATCTGCTCTTATTTGTGATTTAATAACGCATTGACAGTTTTAATGCTACAAATTGTTTTACAACTTACAAAACGTAATAAATTGAAACAATATTTTTTAAAACTACTAAATCGTTTGATAATAAATTTTGTACAGAATTGTGTACACTTTATATTTTTTTATCTGCTCGACTAACCACCTTTAAATTAAGCAGGTCATACTTTTACTAAGAGATTTTGGGTTACTTTTACGTTAAAAATTTATTGCTACAGTTTCGAAATTAAAAACAAGTACACAAGGTATAAATTAAACATTGACATTAAAAACGAATTTCTAGATATAAGTTTAGTTCTAGTAATATATTTCATTGACTTTTATTTAGCAGCGTTCTTTGCATTGGGAATTCAATGTGGTTGTTTAAATTCAAATGTTTATACGACTTTACATTACGCTGGCTCGTAAAAGTCAGTAGAGGGTTTCTCTTTCAACAAATTTTCTTTTTACTTCCCGAGCGTAAGCAAAGGAAGTATTGTAATCGAGTCCGTCGGCCGACTCTCTACTTTTACGTTTTCTCGATCTTTCATGACCCCTAGAAGACGAAGAAATAGGTCTCCCATTTCCGTCTGTCTGTCCGTCTGTCCGTCTGTCCGTCCGTCTGTCCGTCTGTCCGTCCGTCTGTCCGTCTGTCCGTCTGTCCGTCTGTCCGTCTGTCCGTCTGTCCGTCTGTTGTCACGGATTTTTATTAGACAGATAATCTCCGAAAGTACTCGACCGATTGTTGTGAAATTTTGTACTTATATTAAGAATATCATGTAGATGGTAAAACGCTAACCAAAATTTGTCGAATCATCCCCACCACTAAAGCGATGACGTCACTTCAAAATTGTACATAGTAAATGGGTTTTCAATTGTATAAAATAACATAGTCCTACACATGTAGTTTACAACTCTGAATCGACTTTTCACCCGAAACGTCCAGATTTTTGGAAAAAAAATCAAAATTATAAAACAACATTTTGAAATTTAATTTTTAATCTGCTAACCAGAATGCTTTGAAATGTTGCAGATGTTTTAAGGCTATAAAGAGCATCATAAATCTTTAGTCAAAAAATATTTGCTTATCCCCTCCAAAAACTTGATGACGTCAGCTCAAAAGTTTGTGGAATAAATCATATCTAAAATGTACAAAATATGATGAGTCTGTACTTGTGAACTATCACTCCATTAATATTTTTTGGATTTGCATATACAGGGTGACTCAAAAAAATTAATGAATGCGTAAATATATTTTATTGATTTAATCAGGAACTACAAAACCGAATGCTCTGAAATCTTGCAGATGTTTTAAGGTCATAAAGAGCATAATAAATGTTTAGTCAAAATATATTTGCTTATCCCCTCCAAAAACTTGATGACGTCAGCTCGAAAGTTTGCCGAATAAATCATATCTAAAATGTACAAAATATGATGAGCCTGTACTTGTCATTTATCACTCCATTCATATTTTTTGGATTTGCATATACAGAGTGACTCAAAAAAATTAATGAATGCGTAAATTTATTTTATTGATTTAATCAGGAACTACAAAACCGAATGCTTTGAAATCTTGCAGATGTTTTAAGGTTATAAAGAGCATAATAAATTTTTAGTCAAAATATATTTGGTTATCTTCTACAAAAAACTGATGACGTCAGCTCAAAAGTTTTCCGAATAAATCGTAAGGTACGAGACAAAAAATTATCACGGTGCAGAATTTTTGCCTAAATGTATTAAAAGAAAGTGAAGATACCTGGTTGATTAAGCAATTCCATTTTTAATTAATTTAATAAAACATTTTCACAGAAAACCCTAAACTGAACGAAATTTATTGAAAATATGTAATTTTGTTAACAAACTTATTGTGACAAATTATTATCACGCTTAAAAGGGAAATAACTAACTAACTAAATGAAAACTAATTTAATACCCAATGTATTTTCCACCTGCTTCTATGAGATTGTAGACGCGTTGCTTCATAGAATTGACCAAATGGATGAAGTAATTGACGTCCAAATTCTCCCAAGCCCCCAAGATACCATCTTTCGATTCATTAACTGTTGTGTACTGCTTCCCAACTTTATAAACCTCTCGTTCAAGAGAACTCCATACATTCTCAATAGGGTTGAGATGTAGGCTTTTCGCAGGCTATTATAGCAAAGCTATATTTTGTCGTTGAAACCACGTTTTCGATGAATTAGACACATGAATCGACGCATTATTTTGCTGAAAAATCACTTTGCTGTCTTGAAATACGTTCAAAGGTGGTTTGAGGTGCATTTCCAACACATCTTGGTAATTCAAAGAGTCCATTCGATTTGATTAATGCTAAGTTATTATTTCCTAAGCTACTAAAGGCACCCCAGACCATAACATTGCCACCTCCTTGAACTCGTTTTGACAAATACTTTGGTTCTTTCCGTAAATCGTGCCAATAATATCTAAAACCATCAGGACCATCAAGATTAACTTTCTTTTCATCTGAAAAAATTATCTGGAACCATTCTTCATTTTTCGTCTGCATTTCTCTGGCCCATTCACAACGTTTTTGAATATGTTCTTTTGTTAACATTTGTTGTTTCTTATATTTGGCATATTTAACATTTTTGTCATTAGCCAGTACTCGCAAAACTGTTCTTTTGTGAACAGGAAGTCCTAGGGTCGTCTTTATCATTTGAGACGACATGTTATCCTTTATACCCGGAGTTACAATGGATCTTTTGGCACGTGCAGTGAGTTTTTCTTTTCTTCCACAATTTTGTCGTCCATTTTCACTGTATTTCTTTCTTACAAACTTGGAGATTGTGGTCCGATCTCTTCCAATCTTTCATCCTATTTCCGCAAAAGTCAAACCTTGGTCATAGTATGCCTCAATCTGTCCTTTTTCATGTTCTGTTAAATCGTTTTCTTTGCCCATGGCGAAAGACAATTATTGTAGCTCAGCCAATTATATTTCGACACTTTATCAGTTCTAACAAACAATTGCATATCGTGCATATCATACAAATAAACAACAATTATGCATACTACGTTTTTCTAATTGATTTTTATACAAAAAGTGATGGGTTATGTCTCAAAATTTCTTGACACAATTGAGTTTTCACAGATCAGAAATTATTTGATGCAAAAATATCAGTGAAAAAAGCATTTTTGTATACTAAATTAACTTCTACTGGGTGTATTATTTAGTCAAAGGTCTAGATAATAAAAAATTCTTAAAAAATTGCACCGTGATAATTTTTTGTCTCGTACCTTATCTAAAATGTACAAAATATGATGAGTCTGTACTTGTGATTTATCATTCCATTCATATTTTTGGATTTGCATATGCAGGGTGACTGAAAAAAATTAATGAAGGCGTGAATTTATTTTATCGATTTAATCAGGAATTACAAAACCGAATGCTTTGAAATCTTGGGAATATTTTAAAGTTATTATAAGCATGGTAAACTTTTGTTCAAAATGTATTTGTTCATCCTTCCTAAAAAAATTGATGACGTCACCCTTAAATTTTGCTGAATAAATCCTATCTAAAATGCAAAAAATATGATGAGTTTGTACTTGTGATTTATCATTCCATTCATATTTTTTAGATTTTCTTAAGAGGTGGTTCAAAAAAATTAATGAAGTCAATTTATTTTATTGATTAAATTAAAGGCAACACTTATTATTAGTATTACACCCCAACCAACCCAATTTGGTAGACACAAAATTTGTTAAAGGAAAAACTCGGTTGAAACATAAGGGTAGCACGCTTATTTACATCGACTTTAACATTACAGACCTGCATTTGTTTTAGGC